ATTTGCAAGTTTCAAATTTGAAGAGGAGTGTAGTCCATTGCCTTTAATTTGGAGTTTGTCTAAATATTGAATATATTTTTTCCAATTTTAACATTAATTATTTACTTCTCTCTCATTTGCCATAATTTCATTCATTTTCCTATTTATTATAATGGTATATTAGGAAATAAAACTATATTCTTAACTTACTGATTACTTTTAACTAACTGTTTGTTATTTGCAAATTAGTTATCTGAAATATATAATAATGATTGGAGGAAGTATTAATTTACCAAGGAACAAAAAACCGGACCAGACACTAAACCGGTTGAGATAGTGAGTTAAGAATTAATGGGTCAGGTCGGGGTTGAACCGGAGTCAGACCGGTAATTATTAAAAAAATAAAATTTAAATAAAATTTCAAAAATATTCATTTTTATTATAAAAATATTTTAATAAAAATAATATTTAGAAGTATCCCATTAAGTGAACATGTAGAGCGGATGACTAGGCTTTGGAAAGCGAAAAAGGAAGATACAAGTACTCATAGTGCCTGCAACACGCTACCTGAATGGCCTTCTAAATTCGCAAACGTGCTAATTAATGCCTGCAACCAGAAATAGAGTACTCATAGTGCCCTTCCCTTCTGTCATTAATGCCTTTCCGCCTTCTCATTTTCATTTCAAATCCTGGGACTGTGGCCTTATCGGAGCTCCTTCCTCTCTCAATTTTCCGATCTTCATCCCACACAACAAAACTCAAGTGCTCACCTCTTGAAGCATATTCTCTTCCCTCTTCCATGCTCTCTACTTTTTAAAAGAAGTTTTTCACTTCATTTTTCATCATAATTTTTCAGGAGTTTTCTCTTCTAGTAAGTTATTTTTTATCTCTTCCTCTATTTTCCTTCTCTTCTTTCTCCCCCCCTTTCTGCATTTTTCAGATGGACTTCTTATTTCCCCATTATGGTCTAGGTCTGGTCGGGAGGGAGGGACCGAGGGAATTACTACAACACTGTTGTTCGATTTTTTTTTCTTCCTTTTAAGCATTAGACGACCTAGTTTTAGACTTAGGGAGGGGGAAAATATTAAACGGTTAACCCCCCAAACCGGACGGTTCATCAGTTTAATACCGGCTTGACCGGTTACTTTCCGGTTCAACAGGTGACCGGTTTTCTACTTAAACCAGACTGGACTTTGGACTGGTTCACCGGTTTTCTGGTTGAACCGGCCAGTCCGGTCCGGTTTTCTTTTCCTTGCAATTTACAACCGGAGAGAGCTTATGATCTTTCTTATAAGTTACTCCCTCTACTCTTTTTCATAAAAGCTAGATAACTAAATTATACTATTTAAAAAAATAGTTAAAATTAGTTAAAGTAATAAATATGTAAAAAAAAACTTTCTTTTTCAAGCATGCACTTATTTATGAGGGGCAAGTAAAAGATAGAAAGTATGAAAGAGAATACAGTAAACTTTTCAATTAATGTAATATGTAAAATTAATTAGGGACAAAAATAGTAAAAACACATTAAATGTTCAGGCAGTCACAAGTGTGATCTTATAAAGAGGATTAAGACAATTCAAAATTTAAGCTCTCACAAAAAGAAGTGAGAAAGTATAAGTAGATTATTAATTATATTTTTCAAGGTTATCCCAATCTAAAATCTCATTAATGGCAACTTCTATGATTCTTTTTAATGCAATTCATGGTATTAAATATAAATAAATTTGGATTTTATCATTTTCAAACAAAATTAATGACTTAGTTTTTTAGAGTGCTTTATAATAAGAAGTATGCCCTGTCATCCTTGTTACAAGGCACTTTCTAAAAAAAAAAATTTGATCCTTTTTATAAGATATTATGACAGTTTCAATAAGCATTAAATATTTTCTTTTCATATACCCATATTTAATAAGCACAGTGAGAGAGTAGAAACTAATATGATGAAATTTAATATAGTTAATAAAGGTAATATTAAAAATTACTTGAATTTTATAACAAATTTAATTCTTTTGATTTTTTTGTATTAGTATGTGAGAATTAGTTAGCAATCTCTTATAATAAAGATAAGAGGGAATACTACATATTTTTTTAATATAAGAGACGAGAGAAAACTATCTTGAGAGTTAGAAAATGTGTTATTTTTATTATTATTGGATATGTTTTTAACTTCAGCCTCGTCAATACTTTTGGTGGGTTAAAAAATGGAGGGAAGATCATCTCTTTAATTATAAGTGTCTTCGGTCATTTCTTCTTAGATTATTAAAATCTCTTCTTCTTTTTCTTTCTTGAGATCACATCGCTACAGCTTTTGGTATCAATTAAACAATTTGCTCAAGTGACTAGTTAAATGAGAAACAAAAAATGTTGTCTTGAAGGATATTTTGACTTTTCGTCCCTTATTTACTAATTTGGCTACAGAGGTCGTTAATCTTTCATGATATGAATTTCCCTTTTTGGCCAACTTCATGGTATGTATATCTCCTAACCTATATTTTTGTTGCACAAACAACTATGTTTTTGTTATGAAAGTCATTAGGCCTTACTAGAAAAACAAAGTCAAACCCATAACTTTATACACATGGGTGTGAGTAATGCCCGCAGGTGGTGGGACCATAACCATTAATGGATAGTTTTGAATAAATGGGTTGGTGGAGGCTAAAAATTTAATAAATTTCAAAATTGATGAGCGTACTATTAATGACTTTTGAATCTAATACTCTCTCTTTCCTTATAAGAAATATTTGCCCAGGTAAATCAAAAAATTAGTTAAAACAAAAAATGTGTAAGAATTATTTTAAGTTTTTATGTAAAAAAATACTTTTATTTATAAGAGAATGGAGTATAAGAGATAGAATAAGAAAATAATGAATAATTATATTAAGTATTAAAATAAATAATTAATGGAGGTAAAAAAAGAAATTAGTTATGAAAATTTGAAACGTCTTACAAATGTTTCTTATTAATAAGGATAAGATAGAAATTATAGTTTGTTTTTTTAAATATAGGTATTCTCCTATTAGAAGCAATCATCTTCGAGGCACTATCTGACACTAAATTTAGACACATCTTCTAACAAGAATTCGTACCTTGATTCACTATATTGTAGGGAATTAGTCTTTTCTGCTAGACCCAATCCTTGTTAGTAAAAATTATAGTTGGTCCTTATAAAAATGGAAAAAAAGAAAAAAAAATAATTGGTAATGTTGGCTAGCCCGCTAGCTATAGGCCGATCCGTGTTGAGTTGGAGTCCATGTGAATCAGTCCTAAAAAGGACCACCTCCTGAGGGGTTGATATTTAGCCAACTCGAGCCCACCACATATAAATGACAAGTAGTCAAGGCCTTGAGGGTGGGGAAGTGACGCTTTGCTTCTCTCCTTTGCGTTCCCATTTTCCCCTTCTCCTCTGCCTCTTAAACGATGACGTCTTACTGTCGAGAAATGGAAGTTGATGATGGGCAATAGACAACAGGACCCATGAACATGAAACTAAAAAGTCATCAAATATATTATCCATTTTTCAGTAACAATAATAAATATTATCTCTTGTTCTAAGTATAAGACTAGTTTGATATTCATTTTAATCTTAAGTATAAAACTTCAATGTGTTTTGTTTCCTATATTTATTCATTTTTTTCTCAAAATAGTTTCCATGATAGTTATACATATTAAAGAGTTTTTATTTTAAAGCACATAATTAATAAAAATATTTTAAGAAAGACAAATACTCGTTTATTATAAATAATTAACTTAATTTTTTTCATATTCGCAAATTAGTTATCTAGTTCTTATATTAATGATTGAAAATAATATATTATTACTGTTACCAACAACTAATTTAGTTCTCAATAACAATCCCATTATTGTAAAATGGAACTAGAGTACTAAGTATTTATACATGATAAATAAACAATAGCTAAATTGCTTATATTTAGTTTGTGCTTATACTAACTAGAAATATTAGAATATATAGCTAGGCAGAAAGTTAACAAGATACAATATCCAAAATTTACATAAATTCAATCAGACTCCAATATTCGAAAATATATAGGCACGCATTCAATCAAAACTTTCCAAAATTAAGAACATATATAAGTATAACAAACATTTATCAGAAGGATGTTTTGGTTTTCTGAGACGGTCAAAAGTCATTGCGTGATAAAACTGTCTTTCACAAGTATATTTCAAGCAGAAAATTCTCTAATGTTGATATAGCAAAATAAGCACAAACAGGTAACAACAAATATTTAAAAATTACTTGGCGATTAGTTAAAAAAAACCATCAAATATATTGCTCATTGTTTGACGGTTAAAAACTATCAAGCATATGTTTAGATTTAAATCATTAATCATGCCTGCATATTTGACATTTTTACCAGAAAAATTGATAAGCATGACCTTTTCTATAGTTTAAAAAAATGTTTTTAATATAAAGTTAAAAACAATTCAAATGACAGTTGTATCTAATTTAGCCTAGTCTATCTATCTTTCTTTTTCGGCCTTTTCCTATTTAAGTACGTAACTAAGCTGAAAATATAGCATTTATTAGGCCCCATTATCACAATATAATAATTACGATTTTTAGTTCTTAATATAAAAATTAGATAATTAATTTACAGATATTAAAAAAATTAGTTAACTTAATTATTTGTAATATATGAATATTATCTTTTTTAAATATCCCTATTAATCATTTGCATTGAAATTATCCTTTAATGAAAACTCCATAACATTTACAAATTACTTGGGAGCAAAGTGAATAAATATTGAAAACAAATTGAAATATAGCGATATTTTATATTTAGGACTACATTAAATCTCCAAATAACTCTCACATTAAATATGAGAGAAAGTACATTATTTAATTTGTTAGGCCACATTTACCCCTAATTAACTTTGAAAACTCTTTCATGCTTCCCATGTTACTACTATATATAAAGCGACCAGTCCCGTTGTTAAAAACACGTCCTGAACACACATACATATACACATATCGACCAAACACAAAAATAATTAAAATGAAGATGATCATTCCCATTATCTTCATCATTTTTTGCCTTCTCTTCTCATTCTCTTCCTCTCAGCCTTCTATGTTCGATTTTTGTGTTGCAGATTTCTCAGCTCCTTATGGCCCTGCTGGATATTCCTGCAAGAACCCTGCAAATGTGACTCCCAGGGATTTTTATGGGTCTGGTTTAGGTGTTCCCGGCAACACAGCAAATACATTCAAAATCGGTGAAACGACTGTGAATGTTCAACAAATTCCAGGTCTGAATAGTCTAGGTGTTTCCTTGTCTCGTCTAGATGTTGCAGTTGGTGGGGCTGTGCCACTTCACACACATCCTGACGCTACAGAAGTTCTTGTGGTGTTACAAGGCTCTATGACTGCTGGTTTCATTTCAACCAATAATACTGTCTATATGAAATCTCTTGGAGTCGGAGATGTCTTTGTGTTTCCAAGAGGTTTAATGCACTTCCAACGCAATCCAGGTATATATATACTCATCTAGTCCTATTTATACGACAGATAGAAAAGATTTTTCTTGTTGTTATTTATATGTTACATTATTAAATTTTTAACTTGAATATTTTATCATTCATTTATTATAGTGTAGATTGTTATTTTTTGGAACATATGTACATATTAAACGGGAGTGACTTTAAAAAGTTGTTATATTTTAAAGTAGAATTAATGCAATTTAATTTTCTTTTTTGATGTGAAACATATTAAAAATTCACTATAAATAGAATTAGCAGAGTATATTGTTTAGTTCTTCTAAAATTAATATGCCAAATTAAGCATAACTCGTTTCAATGCACATAAGACAAAAGTGTACGTTTGGTTTTCTAACAGTTTAATTTTATAGAAGAAGATTTCAGTTTGATCATTTAATTTTATCAAGTATATTTTTATTTTTTTAATTTTAATATATATTCTCTTCTCATCCTATTTATAAGAGAGAGATAGAGAGAATTTTTTAAATCCTATTTATAAATCATATCATTAAATTTTTAATATAAATGTATTATTTTATCTTTTATTTAGTATTGTGTAAGATTGTTATTTTTTGAAAAATATATATATTAAATAGGCATAAACTTGTTAAATTTTAATGTAAACTTAATGATGATTTTTTGTATCAACCATTATTATTTTTATAGGTTGAACTTAATACATCGGTATTTAAAAATGCTTAGTCAACACTTAAAGTTTCAAGCACTATGTTTTTTTGTTAATGAAACTAAAAATTAAAGAAGGTTAAAAAAATTATAAAATTAAGAAATAAAAATAAAAATTTTGTGTAAAGCTAAAAGATAAAAGTGCACTTTTTGCCTAAACGTAGTTAGCTTGATCTCTAGAACTTAACCACATGAGTCCGATCTAGACTTTTGAAGTGATATGAAATAATTTTTTATCATCAATTTACTTGTTATTTCAATAATAGAATGTAACTTTACACGACATGTTTTTTTTTTTTGGCCAACGCATTACACGACATGTTTATCTACATATGAATTCAAAATTTAAGGGCTTGCATGCACATATATAATGCAAAGTTTAAGTTTTTTTCCCTATGTAATTAGCTAAATTAATATTACACTGTTGTTGATACTTACATAAATTATTATTAAGGCGTGATCTTACCTTTTAAATAATTTATTAATTCACGAGTGAATTATTTGTTGATTAGAATACAAGAAAATAAAACTAAAAATTTCATACTTTTTTTTTAATACAAACTACATTTCACACTGCGCGCAAACACACACACACATATGTTATTATGCATATAATCCCATTAAAATCTAATGATTTAATTCAAAATGCATATGAAGAAAGAGTAGTGTAGAGTGTAGAAACGACATATTATGCACGCATTATCTTTGGTACAATTATTATTATGAAATATTACCTCTATCCTTAATATAAGACTTAATTAACCAATTTGGAGAGATTAAGAAAGTCTTACTAAATTATATTTAATTGTAGCATATGTTACATGATCTCTATAAAATATTTATGTGGATCATTAAATTATATATCAATTTATAAGTGAGACAAATTAATTCAGAGAAAAACAATAAATAAAAATAGTTCAAAATCATTTAGTAACTTCTTTAATTTTTTTCAAATTAGTCATCTATGTATTATATTAAGGATTTGAGGTAGTATGCATTTTTTTAATATTGTTTAATTATGTGATTTACAATTATGGACGAGATTATATCTAATTATGATTATATAATTATTTTGTGTTTTCTTTTCAGGTAAAACTCAATCCATGGGAATTGCTGCCTACAGCAGTTCAAAGCCTAATATCCAAATTCTGGACCTCGCACTGTTCCAAAGTAATTTGTCCTCTCAGCAGATAACAGCCAGCACTTTCATTAATATTCCCGAAGTGAAGAGGCTCAAGACCCTTTTTGGAGGCTCCGGATGAAGTATATTCTATAATATATGCATATTTCAACAAGCTTCCTAAAAGGTCAACTTATATAATAAAACATTACACACACACACACACATATAATCTGATCACGTGGATCCACTTGATGTATTATGATCAACCTTTCCGGTTTTTTATGTTTGGAATGAAATAAAAGTTTGATCTTTGTCTCTTACTAATTTATAAGCAAACGTGCACTTTTAGTATTTTTAATTTCATCTAAGTTTTCATTTTGGTCTATTAATTTTTTATAGTGTCTTTTTAGTTATTTAATCCTAACAACATTAACAAAAATGCTAATATTGTAATTTTAAATGTTAACGATATATTCTTAAATGCTGAGATATCAAGTTTAATTAACTTTCAAAAGAATAATGATTTTTATAAAAATTATTATTTGACATTAATGATATTAGGAGTTAGAGGATTGAAAAGACACTTTACAAAGTTAATGTATTAAATTAAAATTTTATACAAAATTTAAAAGTAAAGTGGCACTTTTATCTAGTTTGTATATATAAATTGGGCGAATATTTGATATTGTCCTCATTAAATTAGGAATGTGGTTTCATATTCCTCTTCAAAGATTTATGAAACAAAAGGCTTGTTTGGTTCAATTGCGCATACCCTCTACCATGCAATGCAATGTAATGCAAGGAGATGTAATGCAATTTTAATTACCATCAAAATATTTGGTATGATATTGGACATGTGTAAAAGAAAAATTAATTTTTATAATAAATTATATATGTAAACAGATAAAAAGACCAAAGTATCCTCATCCAACAAAAAAAAATGTTTGCCTAATACTTCGGTATTTTTTCAACGGCAACAAATAAAATGAAAAGGGAAACATGCCATGACATTGATTTCAATGTACAATCAAAATTTGTGAATCACAAGTCTGACCACAAACTATACAAATTTGGAACCAATTTTTTGGAACTAACTGACTAAAACGCAAAGAATGACAAATCAAAACTAACAATACAGATTTGGAATCAGTTTTTTGGATCTTTGAAAAAATCAAAACTATTGGTCCTTCTCTTTGTACATCCTCTTCAATTACTTTGTTTTGGGATCAAACTTCTGAAGTGACAGCTATGGAGTGTGACTGTGAGAAGGAATCATGATTAGGAGATGAAGCTTTGTTGACATTGAAGGAATAGGCTTAGTCAGCATTGAAGAAGATGGTGGAGGCAAAGGAAGGAGGTGGTGGGGTGTCAAAGATGACGTGGCGAAAACGGAGGTGAGTGAGACAAAGGTTGTAGAAGAAGAAGTCATAGAAGATGAGGGGGAGGGATTGAGGGTATTTTGTGTCTTTTTACATTGGATATGATGGGCAAATAAGACTTTTCAAAACATGCAATGGAGTGGTAATGAGTATTCATAAGGAGGGAGGTGTGAATGGGGATTACCAAATTTTTGGTAATCATCATTACCATGGTAAACCTTATTACCATTTTAAAAAGCAACCAAACATCATTCTCTTAGTAATGCAATTCCCATTATCATCACAGGCCTGCAATGGGGTTGAACCAAACGAGCTCAAAAGTTAGTATTTACCATGAGAAGATATTCACCTTGTTTTATCATAACTCACTTACTCATCATGCCTTTCACATAGGGTATAAACTCATAACCTCAGAACTAAAAAAGACTTAAGAAAAATATTTAAATGTGTATTTGGTTTACCCAAAAACACTTTCATGCAAATCAAAATAAAATTTCTCTCACATATTTATTTCATATATAGTAAAATTATTTTTAAAATTACAGTTTAGTTTTCACCTAAACACTTAATATCATTAAGCTATAAGGCCTTGATAAGGGCATATTAAAAATTGGATTGACTAATGAATAGATCAAAATATTGGTTATTAACAAAAATTGGGTGTTATGAAAAGAGCTATTACTTCATAATAGGATTTGTAAAAAATTTTCAAACCCACTTGTCATTTTTTCCCCCAAAAAAATAAACTCGTTTAAATTTTCTCTTCCTTTTCCTCTAGTTTCCTTCAATTAAACAATGGGTTAGTATCTGCATCCCATGGAATTTAAAATCCATTTTTTTTATTATTATTGAAGAACATACATACATACTACACACGTATAAACATACAAGCCAACCGGTGAAAAAATGAGTTGACTCGTTAATACTCATATTTTGGCTAGCTAAGATAGTGAATAGATTCAATATGCTTATGTTAAATTTTTTGAGTGATTAATGTTGAAGTATCTTCAAAACAGAATATCTATCTATGTAAAAGTCATATATCCTTAGAAAGCCGATCAGAGTTATAATATTAGTACAAGTCATTAAGGTGATTTCATTATCATATCTAAAAACACCTTTGGAAAGATATAAAATCAAAAGTATGGTCATCATCACGGGGTCATAAAAAGTGTTTTTGTTAAAATCGGGTTCATATAATCAATTATATAATATTTATTAAGTGATTAATTAATCAAGACAAGTACACTAAATTAATAAATTTATTTATGGATTTAACTTATCATGCCCGTTTAAGAAAAACCATATACATAATCAAAACAATCCAGCAGATTACATGTATGTTTTCTAGAAGAGATACAATGGAAGAGTATCTAAATAACTCTCGCTATTGCTCACGCGATTTGATGTCATTCACGACCTGAGAATTAAATAATTGAAATCACAAAGCACATTTAGTGATAAGAGCTCTTGGGGACTCTTCTAATTGACAAGCACAATGATGACAACTGAACAAAGCCGTCACTATAAGAAATAAGCAAAAATAGAAATAAGAGTTTTTACTCACTCTCACTCAGATAGTATGTTGTAAGATTAATTCCCACCATTAGAAAACTGATAAATAAATAATAATTGAGTTAACCCTAAATTGATTAGGCCTAACCTAATTGACGGGCCACATTAAAATATTTTAATCAAGTAACATAGTAATAATAAGGATAGAGGTGTTTCTAACATCTTGAAAAAATTTTGGGGTATATCTAGCATCCTAAAATATTTAATTGTGTAATTTTGCCCCTAATATTAAAAAAAAAAAACAGGAGAAAACCCACCTTCAACAAACAGCCACTCTAACTCTGCTAGTCTCATACACTAATTGTTTTCTAAATGACAAGCGTAATGCTTAAATCTGCAGATGATGAAGGAGGCACTGTTCATCATCTTCATTGTTGATTGAACCATGGATGAAGGCATGATTGAGGGAACGAGAGATGAGTGAGGATCTTTTGGTAGCGGTTTTGCTTAACCACTAGTGAATCGTTGCCAAGATTTTTCCTTTTCTATAGTGGGGAGTAGCACGGCAATCATCATCTTGAGTTACTTAACATAATGAATTAACAATAGGATTGGATCTAGTGGAAATAAGCTAGTACCTCACAACTTGATGAACCAAGGTTCAAATCTCATTAGGAGAGGTTCCCATATTTAGTATCTGATGACATGTCTCGAACAGGATTACGTTTAAAAGAAGGATACTTGTACCTTACAAAAAAAAAAAATTAACACAATGAATTATGGAATTAGCTACGTGCATATTTGCACTAAACATCTCCAGATTAACAAGAGCACAAATATAAATCAATTGTGTGTAAGGCAAGTTTGATGTCAATCAGACAAATAATAGATAATTCACCCAAGTTGCCTTCTTGATTGCTGGAACACAAGTTTTGCATGATTTTGCCTTTATCTTTCTTTTAATTCTTAAATTGTATTGCTTGATATAAGGGAATGTAGTTTAATATTAGAGTTGCCATATGATAAGCCCTAAAGGGAACAATCTTATTTTCTACTTTATCACTTGATACAACTGTCAAACCATGTTGAAGCAATTCAAACCTTTTTTTTTTTTTGGGAAAATGAAGCAATTTCAATTTCAATTTTAATGCATCTCTTCATTTTGAAAATATTCCAACAATGTGTGGTGGCCGTGGTGGCCAGGTGTACATAATGGTTCGAGTGTAAAACCATGTTGAAGCAATTTCAATTTTTTTTTAAAAAAATAGCTTTTGAAAATTGACTTGCCATCTGTTATGAAAATGCAAATTATATATGACAGTGATATTTAAGGGTAAACTAATTTTGGTAACTAATACCAAAAAGTCAATTTTAACATTGAAGAGAGGCAAATTGCTCTCCCAAGTTCCAACTCGTTTTTGTTAAGACAACTCATAAAGCAGACAATACTGATGCATTATTAGATTCACTTTAGCTGTCAATTACGATGGTTACATTGTTTTGCGAAGAAAAAGGAAATATACCTGGAAGATAATCTCTCACTCAAATCATCTGATTAGGAAAGAGAAGAATTTTACTATCTAATTGACCATATAAATGTAGGAAAAATTGCTTAATTTCTCGTGCCTCCTTTCTGCCATTTCTTGTTTCAAAATTTCCATCATGGAAGCAAAATTAGCTTTCTTGTGCTTTATTGTTTCGTTGTTTTCTCTAGCTCATTCAGAAGACTTGAAGCTTAATATAAAAGTGACAACGTCAATAGCTAATACAGATGAAAATTTTATTTGTGCAACTTTGGATTGGTGGCCATCTGATAAGTGCGATTATGGTCAATGTCCTTGGGGACAAGCAGGCATTCTCAATCTGGTATATATGTAACTGTTCATATCCTTCAAATTATTATTAAATATCATATATACTAGTTTCTTAATTTCCTCCTCTCTTCATGTTGGCAGGATTTGAATAACAAGATCCTGATAAATGCTATGAAGGGTAAAATATTTTCTTTCTCTAGAAAAATTCATAGCAAAAAAAGTTTCATCATTGATGCTTAGTAATTTGAATATTTTTCAATTTTGAAAAGTCTTCTGCATTCTTGATTAAGAAAAATAGGATAGGAATGATTCAAGAGTTTTCTCTCTCGGTTTTGCACTTTTTTATACATTTCCAAAGTTTTCCTTTTTTTTATATTTTAATTTAAATTTACAAAATTTCATAAAAAAATATAATAAAGTAAAATTATCAGTTGACTATTTGTTTTCCCATGTTTTCTTCTTTTCCCTTCTCCTTCCAATACAGCTGCCAAACTAACTAGGTGCTTTAAACTAGCCAATTTACATTCAAAGATCTAACTATTCATACATAAACACTTTTGTTCATGCAGCATTCAACACTTTGAGAATCAGATTAGGAGGATCATTAGAAGATCAAGTGGTGTATAGATTAAGACATCCCAAAAATTGCACAGGATTCATAAAGAATCAAGATGGCTTGTTTGGTTTTAGCACTGGATGCCTTAATCATACTAGATGGGATCAAATCAATGACTTATTCAATAAAACTGGGTATGTTCCACTAATTCTCATCACAAGACATTTCACACCATGATCTCTAGTTATTTCAACAACTATATATATGTTATCTCAAATATATTCTTATAATATGGTGTTGATGATGCTATAGAGTGAAACTCACATTTGGGTTGAATGCTCTCCATGGAAAGAAAAGATCTATGAAGGACAAAATTCTTTGGGAAGGTAATTGGAACTCACATAATGCTGCTACCCTCATGGCTTACACTATTTCAAAAGGATACAAAATTGATTCATATGAATTAGGTAAGGCAAAGTTTTTCGCTTTGAACTTCAATACAAAGTTTGTTAATGGTATTGTGATTTATGATGAAAGTCTAATTTGTGATAGGAAATGAGCTATGTGGTGATGGCATTGGTGCCCGGATAGAAAGTGTGCAATATGCAAAGGATATCACTGAACTTAGAAAATTAGTGAATATGTTTTATCCAGATCCTGCTAAAAGACCCCAAGTGTTAGCCCCTGGTGGTTTCTACAAAAAAGAATGGTTTCATAACTTCTTGCAGAATACTGCACCTAATGTTCTTGATGGAGTCACCCATCATATTTACAACCTCGGCGCCGGTGAGCAACATGAATCTCGGGCTCTTATCAAGTTTTCTTTGAAATTAGCTTATTTTTTTAATACATTCCATGAAATTAACTTCTTTCAAAAGAGTTTATTATCTGGTACTAAGCTTTCAAAATGTATAAATATATAGACTTTTTGATAATGCAAACATACATAGATGTGAATTAACTACTTTTTATCTATTTGGTCTGTTTTTATTTGGGATATTTCCATAAGCAATTAAACACAGCAAGGGAAAGTGAGCACATAACCTGTGTTTGGTTTACAAGAAAATGTCTAACACTCCATCTACATGATTAATGCAGGTGTGGATAAGACCTTGATTAACAAGGTGCAAGACCCATTTTTTCTAAGCCAAGTTGCTCAAACATTCAAGGATATATCAACAAGTGTTAAAGAGTATGCACCATGGGCTCAAGCATGGGTTGGAGAATCCGGGGGAGCTTATAATAGTGGAGGCAAAGATGTGTCACATACTTTTGCCAATGGCTTCTGGTCATATTCCATTTATTTTCTCAATTTTAGCTACTTTCTTGTTCTCATTTTGTGATATGTCTTGAAAATAATGTCCTTGTTATGAACCTTTCTTGATGTATGTTTTTAATGAATAATAGGTACTTGGATCAATTGGGCATGACATCAACATTCAATCACAAGGTTTATTGCAGACAAACATTAATAGGAGGAAACTATGGCTTGCTCAACACTACTTCATTCATCCCTAACCCAGATTATTATGGGTAAGGCTTCTGATTCCAGCATGTGTGTTTGTGTGTATTTTGAAAGCAAGTCATTGTATGTGACTAATTTCTCTTTGTTTAATAGAGCCCTATTATGGCATCGGCTTATGGGAACCAAAGTACTCTCTGTCAACCATGAAGGTTCACCATATTTGCGTGCATATGCTCATTGTTCCAAGAATAGGGTAAGCTCCATTCATTCATTCTAGAAACAGTTTTTTCTCTTCATTCTCAAATCTATGGATAAAAATTTACACTTTTCTGAATGTTTGTAGGCTGGTGTGAGTGCATTACTGATAAACATGTCGAATTCTACTTCATTCAATGTGACTGTCAATATAGACATGAATTGGTACCCGGAGCAACAAGTTTCAAGCTCAAAGATGAGAGAAGAGTACCATTTGACTCCAAAGGATGGAAAAATTCAAAGTGATGTTGTGTTGCTGAACGGAAAAGTTTTGAGTTTGACCGAGTTTCAGGATATTCCTTCCATGGAGCCAGTGCTTGTGGATCCTTCTTCTCCAATCAATGTGGCTGCCGATTCCATTGTCTTTACTTATTTCAACAACCTTGACGCACCCGCTTGTGCATAGTCATATTTTTCCATTCTTGTTCACGCCATTTCTTTTGTTTTTGTGTCTTTTTAGGACTTCTATAATTATCGCAAAATATTGTATATCATCTTTGAATTAATGGATTAAGTTGTTTGAATTCATTAGCCGTTGATTTGTTCATTCTTTTCTTAGGTTATAGGATTAATTAATTTAATTTTATTTCCAATGTGCCTTGTAAATATATTTGATAATTATACATTAATAGACACGTCATGTTTTGGTGGACGAAGTTATCTCTGTTTGTGGGACCGTATATCTACAAGCCTTTATTCCATTATAAGAAGCAATGATCAATTTTTTCGGAGAAAAAAAAAATGTAAGCAAAGGACACTAGATAGATGGCGCTCTAGGACTTTGATTGATATTTTCCAAGACACATTTTTATCTTTAGTCATATACATAAACATGGTCTAAGTATAATCATATATAACATTTATTAAGTGATTAAATATTATATGATCACGCCATTTTTTACTAGTCATAGTGCAAACGAGGTTGTAGAAAGAGTGAACTATCTACTGCTGAGTCTGATTCAAAACCACGTTTGCCTTTGTCCTTTATTCCATATGTGAGTTCCATCGCCCCCAAAACTCAGCACCTCCCACATCTATACTATCTCTAGTAGCCTGTATATATCGTGCATAAATAATTACCTTACCAATATTAAGAAAAATGTTTATTAAGAGTTCGCTTTTCAAAATTTGACACAAATTTAAAATATATTCCACAAATAGTAATAAGCCACTCATGATGCTTGATAATCATAACTAACATCTAATAATGACATATAAAATAAGCAAAATGAAAGACTTCAAGAAGCAAGAAGTTTATCGTTGGGAAATATGTAGTCTCTCTCTGTCGAAGTTCTTCCAAAATAAAATATGGTACCTCCACTTTAAGTCAATAAAAAAGACAACAAAATACCAATGATCTTATAACTTAACAGCATGAATGTTCCCCTACAAATTAGAGTTTGTGAGTTTAGTCATGCGTGTTTGTAACGTATGACCATTAGTGTCTATGGCGATACTTACTTCTTCATTGAGGTTCTTCTAAAATTAAACAAACAATGCCAGCTTCTTCGCCGAGATTTATCAAGTTTTTCTCCATTTAGGCATATGTGCAACGAACCGATCACTGATACAGAGAATTCAAAAAATGTACTAATTATAATATGTGCTATCTTCAATCCTTAATCTATATATATAAATATATATATAACCTAGTTGACTAATATGAGGAGATTAAAAACATTACTAGATTACTTTAAAGTATTTATATTTATTTTTTCTCCAAACTAATTTGCCTCACTTATAAATTAATATATAATCTAATGATACATGCAAATATTTTAGAGATATCATATAACATATATTATAATTAAGTAATTTACTAACTTCTTTAAACTCCTCAAATTAATTGGATCTTATATTAATGACGAGAAGTAGAACATATTATGACTAAATGATTCCATGGCGTTAGGTTGTATTTGTAATTAGCAAATAGTAATTCCCAGAGCTTATAAAGTTGGACTCTATATAGAATTAATCAATTGAATTGTATTTTTTAAACCATCATATTATCCTTTTTAAAGTTACCAAATGTTCACTCACACACACACACTTTGTAGGGAGATTGGGCAAAAATGAGTTTATAGGTTGCACATAAAATATTTAGACTACGAGAGTAATAAGAGTGGCATAGCAGATGCGCAAAAAGAATGGAAGAAGAGAATAGATAATTAGAAAGCTCAACAGTGGGGATAAAAATAAAGGGAGAGAGTCACCTCCCATTTATAGAGTTAGGTTAACCACAGTTTAGGAAAATGTGACCTCTCCATTTATTGCAGACTAATTTCCTAATTCTGATGAACCCTGGTCATCAAAGCAATCAAATCGCCATTATTTTTTTTTTAGTGAGAGAATTAAGGGACAGGTGACTGATTAGAGAAGTAATTAAACATTAATGTTCTGATTGTGAATTGAAGGGAAATCAATCAAGCACTAATTTCTAATTGTGAATTAAAAGCCAATCCGGAAATCATCTTCTAATAAATTAGGGGAGATTACATCTTCTTAAACTGTCGTCACCCCAACTCTATACATAAGAGGTGCATCTCCCCTTTTCTCGTCACCTTAATCGCTGAAATTTCCAATTATCTCCTTTCTTCTTTTGATTTTTCTGGTGCATTTGTTGCACCACCCTTATTTAGGCTCTCATAGTCTAGATATTTCGTGTGCAATCGGATCTAAGACAAGCATCCTACCAAGACCCTTGCAATTATAGCTAAGATTAGCCTTATTGAGTTAAAACCCAGAAGAGGTAAAAAGGTATTTTAATTTCATAATTAATACCTTCCTGTTGTGTATAGGTCAACGGTTAGGATAAAGAAAAAAGGAAGAGACGCCTTCTATTTATAGAGTCAGAGTCACCACACTTGAGGAAAATGTAATCTCTTTATTTATTGTAGGATAATTTCTTCATTGCCCTTTAATTCAAAATTAGGAAATTAATATGTAATTGATTTCCCTTCAATCACAATCAAGAGTTTAATAGCTGGTTAATTTCGCAGTCAGTCATTTTTCTTGTGCCTTAATGTTCTCACAAGAATTGATGGTAATTTGTTTCCCTCATTCACAAGGATTCACTACCGGCCCATCAAGGGTAAACTTCAACCCAAAATTCAATGTGGTTGGGTAAGCCAATTGAATTAGATCAAATAATTATATGAGATTTATTAAGTGATTAACTAATCAAGTACACACTGAATTAGTAGACTTATTTATGTATTTGATTCGTCATGCGCACACAAAGGAAAGAAAAAAAAAACTTTCAAAACTCACCCAACAAGTGCCGTCTTAATGACTTAGGATGAGAGGAAGAAATAACTGAGCCACCCTAAGAATGTTTGTACACCCCCCCCCCCCAACTTTACTATTCCTATTTCCATCGATTTTGAATATGAAACGTAGTTAATTTATTTATCCAGATTAATAAAATTAGTTAAATTAGTTATTTATTACTAACATATGGGTTAATATAATTTCTAATCCCTTAAGGTTTAAAAATAGGTTTTTGTTTTTTAGTTTTTTTTATTTAAAACATTAGTCTTTATAATTTATTTATTTTTGGTAAAATTAGTCTTTATAATTTAATAAAAATCTGAACCATTTTTTCTTTTGAAGAACCAAAATCTATTATTTGAAATTTGAGAAATTAAAACCAAAGTAAGACAAACTAGATGGACCAAAGATTATATTAACTGATAATATAAAAAAAATATGTTACTTTTCTTAAAATATGTTTCGTTTTAATTATCCTTTGTTGGGAGAGAGTATTAAATGTAAGAGACAATTAGAATAAAAAATTTTGCTTTTAAAAAAGCAATTTAAAAAAAATTGGAAAAAAATGGCTGAGATTTCAAGATCTAAACAAATCCTTTAATTTTGTTTGGTTAAAAATAAAAAATTCTTTAATTAAGTCTTATATTTAGACGTTGAGGAAGCATTAGATTTTTTATTAGTTATGAATACAAAGAACGTGGCACCCATTACAATGCACGAGAAGGTGTGCGTATAAAAAGGGTAGAGAATCATGTCATATTATCCAGAAATTCTGAATAACATAAGGATAATCTTAACTCTTTGTACGTGACCAACCATTTTTTTAAATTTTTTTACCAAAAAACCTAATGGTTTTTTTTGTGAAGTACAGGAATCCTCTTGTTGAAAGTAATCTAGTTCGACATATTGTTGAGTACTAAATGTGAAAACCTCTCATATTAAGAATTTAAATATTAATTCATCACATTGTGAGAAACTAATATTTTCCACTAAACCCAATCTCTAATGATAAAATTATTGTTTTTTCTTAATAATCAGTTTACTGGCTCACAAGCGAAATGCGTGTATAGATAGTAACCCAAAAAAAAAAAAAATAACGTTTACATAAATAACTTTTGAATCAACATAACCGTTATATTTGTTGCTAAATTTTTAACAATTAATAATGATGTTGTGCACAAATTAAATTTGTTCCTTCTTTTTTTGCCAAGTACAAGTATCTTTCTATTAGAAACAATCTTCGAACATAAAATTTGATCCTTCCATATGCTTAGTAAAATTACTTTTCAACCAAAGAATAACAGATCAATTTTTTAAAAATAAAATTATCCAAATGACGGTTATATCTAAGCCTAATTTCTGTTTATTCCTTCCCCCCTAGCACGGCTACATATCCTCCTAATAACAAAGTATATATTCAATTAAGCTAAAACTGCAAAACTTTTTTAGGCCACATTTGCATAACAACTCAACTAATTAATGACTAAAAACCTTGCAATCAAGGTACTGAAAGTTAGATTGGTCAAAGCAATTGTTCATAGGTCAGTGATCCAAGTGTGTGAAATTGAAGTCAACTCAACCATAATTAGAATAATATAATTTAATTGAAATATGCAAAAGTGTTCGTATATAACCCTAATGAAAAACATATCATTTAAATAAATTAAAAGATTATTAATCCATAAGTAAATAGAACATTCTTGCATAAATTAGATATAATTTAACAAAACACTACTACAACAAAGATATTTAACGACAATTAAAATGAGTTTTTCACCACGGTTTTAAGAGCGACATCTATGCTATCGACGTAAAATATAAAGGATTTCAACGTGATTGAAGAACCGCTGTGGTATGTGACTTTTCACGGCAGTTATATAAATAACCACCATGAAAAGTTCTTCTTTTTTTTTTTTAAGTTTACTGTCATCCTGTTGATCAGGATGGAACGGAAGAACAAAGCCCCAAAGGAAGGGGTTTGAGAATCAATTAACCAATAACGTCTTACTAGTTAAAAACATTCTGATAAAGCAAACGTAGATTCTTTTCTGCCGCAATAGCGCCATTTTGCTTCGCCTTCTACCACTAGATCGAAGTTATTAAAATTTAATAAAAGTAAAATAAAAAACTCAAATCTGATAAAATTCATGAATTTTAGACTATCAAACCACAAAAACTATGAAACCCATGGAAAGAATGGAGGAGAAAGGGTGAAAAACTCACAAATAAGAATGAAGAGGATGAGACAACGACAACAACGACAGCTACAGCAACAGTGACAGCATCGGCAACAATGACAGCAATGGTGATGGAAGAACATGGCGAAGATTATAGAAGTAAATGATAAAGGCCAGCAAAGGTAGGAGGAGGGAGAAAATCGAGTGAGGAGGTAATGGGGAACTATGAGCTCTGACTTTGAAAAATAAAAATTATCATGCGATGAATAAGGTTTAAAATGATGATAGACTTTATAAGGCGATTATTTAAAAAACCGCCGTTAAAAGTATTTTTTACAGTGATTATTTAAAAAACTATCGTTAAAAGTATTTTTTATGGCGATTTTCTTAAAAATCGCTGTTAAAAATACTTTTACGGTGGTTTTTTAAACCACTGCTATGAAAAGTAAAATTCACTTCCCTTTAATTACAAAAATGCCACTATTATATTTTTTATAGTGTTTTTTCTAATGACCGTTGTAAATTAGCGTCGTGAAAGCTCTTTTTTGTGGTGGTGAAATAGAGTTATTAAAGCATAAGTGATAAATCTAATTAATGCTATTTTTCCTCTTTCATTTTAACTCAGGATGCCGTTAGTTATTTCAAAATCAAGAAGGAGAGAAGGTAAAAGGAAAAATTTAAAACCCAATCAGATCGACCTATCCAAAACACTTCACAGTTAGGAGATTAGTTTATCGGTTCACTGCTCTGACCGGGTAGCTCGAGTTGGATTAAACCGTGCGCTTATCCCTTAGTATGTACATACGAATATACATATATATAGGGGTGTGTGTGTGTATTATGGCTGCGGTCATTCTCCTCATTAGACATTATTAGATTTTCTTAATTATATCAAGTCATGAAGATGATTATCCCCATCATCTTCTTCATCTTTTGCCTTCTCTTTTCATCTTCGTCCTCTCAAACTTCTATGTTTGAATTGTGTGTCGCAGATTATACAGCTCCTTATGGTCCTTCAGGATATTCGTGCAAGAATCCAGCAAATGTCACCATAGATGACTTCGTGTTTTCTGGTCTAAATGTTCGTAGCAACAATACAAATGCCATCGTCAAAGTTGGTTTCAGATTTGTGTTTGTTTCTCAACTTGCTGGTCTTAATGGTCAAGGCCTCTCTCTGGCTCGTATAGACTATGAAGTTGGTGGTGTCCTCCCAATCCACACACATCCTGGAGCTTCAGAAACTCTTTTGGTTCTTGAAGGAAACTTGACTGTTGGATTCATCTCAACCAACAACACTGTCTATTTGAAAACTCTCAACCCAGGGGATGTTATCCTATTTCCTCAAGGCTTATTACACTTCCATATCAATGAAGGTACTTAGTGCTAGATTTTTAAACTTTTTTAATAGAATTTATTAATTAGCCCTATCTTTGGTGCATCATGTGAAATTTGTTAAATAAGTTAGATTATTTTTTGCATGAAATTTGATCAAAATTAGTTGTGATCTCTTTAGTTGTTGTTACTATACCTTTGGTCCTTATAATACAAGAGTTAGTTTGATATTCATTTTGGTCCTAAATATAAAACTCTAATATATTTTATTTCTCATATTTATCTATTTTTTTAAAACAATCTTTGTAGAACACATGTTAAATATTTCATCAAAAAATGGTGGTTTTAGTTAATACACATGATTAGTAAGGATATTTTGAGAAAGATAATACCTAATTATCATAAATAACTAACTTAACTAATTTTTTTAATGTACTCCAATTAATCAACTAGTCTTATATCAAAAACAAGAGATAGTATCATTTTATGAAGTCGAAGTTTTCATTGATGGGAAGACGCAATCATTTTCATGGACGCACCTGATCGGCTAGTTGCCCCAGCTATAATGCCACCTTTTACATTTAGATGAGATTCCAAGTTTGAAATTGATGATGATATATTTGTGTGTGCATGTGCGTGTAATTGTATTATATAAACAAAGAAGAAGAAACCTCCTCTCCCATTGGAAATTAATTGTTTTTCAGAATCTATATTACTTTAAAATATTTTGTGTGTGTGTGTGGCTGATATTTAATATATAGGTAGAATATGATTTATAATTATGGGCTTTTATGTTCAATAATCTGTTTTATTTATCATCTATTGTTTTTCAGGTAACACTTCAGCTGTGGCAATCGCAAATTACAATAGTCCCAACCCTACCTTTCAATATGTAGACCTTTCGCTGTTCTCAAGTAATTTAGCCACTTCTCTGATAACAGCGACTACTTTCATTAATGCTACTGACGTGAGGAGGCTCAAGGCTCTTTTTGGAGGTTCAGGATAAAATATATGCACATTTTAGCAAGCTTGCTAAAATGTTATTATCAATATAAAATATATATAATAATATGATATACTTTTATTATTGATGTATGATCCACATGTTTGAAATAAAATATGTTTGAATTAATTAATCTTTTTGGTTTATAGGATTTGAATGAAAGGGAATGGAAAAATTTTAAAAGAAGGGTTAAAATCAAATATGCCTTGGAAGTTTTTACTCAACATTGGAGCACTTGGCACCCAAAAGTGTTTTTAGGTGTAAATTTGTCCCAAAAATTTAAAATAATAACAATATTACTCCTCACTTTTTTTAAAAAAAATAACGATTAATGTCACAATGTAATTTTTTTTAAAAGATAAAGAGATAATATTGTTATGATTTAAAATTTTTCAGGTAAATTTGTATCTAAAAATGCTTTCAGGTGTCCAGCACTCTTAACTCAAAACTTTCAAACTAAATTCGTACTTTAAGCTTTAAAAGAATTACAACAATACACGAGGCAATGTCTTGATTTCGAAAGATACTCATGGACATGTGTGTGTGTGGTTATTTAATTTGAATTTACCTAAGATAGACCCATTTGGTCGTGGAGATGCCTGTATTTGTCCGATCTTCATGATATTGAAATACAGATTTGAGTATTTGTTTACATGTGGTGGTACACTTATTTCACGAGTATCTAAGAAACTGTATTGACAATGATCACATTTTTCAATTATGTAGAAGTTTTAGATATACATGATGAAACAAGTGGAGAATATTATTGGTTATATGTGCTTGTCACATTACTATAGAATTATCAATGTGTCAATTAAATTTTGCCATACTTGATTGTTGACGTCACCAATAAACGCATTGTACTACCTCCGGTCCTTAATATAAGATCCCGTTTGATTTTTATTTTGGTTCTAAATATAAGACCCCAATCACTTTGTCTCTCATATTTATACATTTTTTTTAAAGTAACCCTTCTAACAATAATAGTCGTAATAGTTATTGTAAAAGAATGTAAATTTAAGCCCCACAAACGTGACTCTAAGGGAACCTTAACAACAGTAAATGCACCCTAAAGTGGTAAAAAAGTCATGAATGTTGGACTTCAGAGATGTCCATCTCCCGTTGTTACATCAAATTTCTCAAGTGTTGTAACTTTTACAATTTTCTTATAACTATTTTTTTGTCAATAATTTTTCTATAGTTTTCACAATCCTTGTAGTTAATTTATTTCCTCGCCCACTCTCATGGATCATGTACTTTATCCCTAATTCCACTATTTTAACTTTACACCTCTACATATCTTTGATATATTATTGTTATCATGCTTATACGTTTTATTTATGAAAAATAATTATAATAAGTTATTTGTATTCATTATGTTAAGTTATCTAATTACATACATATGGTAATGTGTTTTATATTCTTTTCAAGTGAATTTATAATTGAATGATATTATTTAAAAATAAAACACATGACTATATGTAATTAGAAAATTTGATATAATAAATATGGAATAATATAATTTTTAGTCTCTCAAGTTTCAAACTATAAGTTTTAGTTCTTTAATAGGTAAAATAGTCTAAGTTTTTATTAGATCATAGGGACTAATGTTTTAAATAAAAAAAATTGAAGGACCAAAACTCATGGTTTGAAATTTAAAGAACTAAAACCAAAATAAAAGTAAACTTGAAAAGATCTAAATTTATATTAACTCCCAAATATAAATAACTTGACCTAAATATATTATTTACTTATTTATTAGCATAAAAAGAGTAATAATTGTTTTTGCATGAAATGCTTGAAATGACTCTACTTATAAATTTATATACTTCTCCGGTCCTTAATATAGGGCGTAAATATAGAGTTGATGTTGGTTCTATATGATCTATTTCAATGTATTAATATTCTCTTCAATATTCTTCAAAGAAGAATGTTTTATAAAAAAAAAATGTCATATTAACTAAATTAACTAATTTTTTTAATCTACTCAAATTAATTAACTAATTCTTATATTAAGGATTGTTGACTGTATAAGATTTAATTAATAAACTTGAATAGATTAAAAATATTAGTTAATTTAATTGTTTATAATAAATAAATATTGTCTTTCCTAAAATATTCTTATTAATCAAGTGTTATTTGATAAAATTTTTAGCATGTGCTACTATTACAAAAACTATTTTAAAAATAGATAAGTATGAAAGGCAAAATAAATTATGATTTTATATTTAAAATTAAATTAAAAATTAAATAAACTCTAATATTAAAGATTGAATATGTTATTTTCTATCCGTTGCACCTTTTGGTGTGTTGAATGAACACTCATCCGTTGCTAAAAAATAAAAAATAAAAAAAAATTTCCCGCAATTCTCACGGAGCGGCGTGCGTGCCCTACCCTATAAAATGCAACAATAGCGCAACACGGTGAAATGCAGCCATGGGGAGCCGGAAAGAGCCTAAGCCCTTCAAGTCCAAACTCAAAAACCCTCGCACCCCTGAAACCCTCGCTCCGAAGCTAGCTAAGACCAAAGTCACCAAGAAGAATAAGAAGAAGAAGAAGGATGGCACAGTCCAAAGCAATGGCAAGCACCAGTCTGGGAACAACGAGAACGAGGAGAGCGTCAAGGAGTCTCAGCCAGCATCAGCTTCAGATCAGTTGAGGTTCTTTCTGGATCAGTTTCAGTCTTCAAAGGGCGTTCAACTTTCTTCTCTCGAGTTGGAATCGCTAAAAGGTACTCTTTTTAATCGTTTTGCAGTTTCTGATTTTAATGAGCCGTTGATTTGATATGTGATTGCTCAGTTTTGGGGCCGAAACAATGTTGTTCTTTTTTTTTTTTTTGGACCAGCAAAACAATGTTGTTCAACATCTATAGTTTTAGGCATAAATGCCCTATCCCAAGTTCCCCTCTTTCGTTTTGTGATCAAATAGGCTTTTCTCGTGTATTTTCACCTTTCTTGGGTAAAGGTAGAATAAAAAATGATTTGTTTTACTCATTAAGAATATATTTACTGATTAAGCATTTTGGATATCTGGCACGATTTCTGTAAAACGCAAAAGCCTTACTCACGATAGATATTTGATGTCACTTTATTTTTGGGAAATATTACTCTTTATTTTGAAAAATACTCAAAAGAACCATGAACTGGCCCAACTGGTGTTAATTTGGCCGAGGACTTTTAAACCCATTAGGTTACTAGGAAAAGGCCATGCTGACCTGTAAAAATAATTATAAAATTGTATGATTGGAAATTTGGGATGAAAAAGGACTCCCACTACCTTAGAAGGAAAATAGCCAAGTTAGAGGGAGAAGGGCGTCATGGAAGAATTAGGGCATTGGATCTCAACCAAATTAACGTAGTTTGGGTTACTTCATGGTCCTTCTGAGCATTTTTCAAAATAAAAAGACTATCGTTTCAGAAAGCAAATAAAAAGGATGGAAAACCACCTATAGAGACTAAAAACAGAACACGATTGAAGTATATGAACTTGAAGTGGTATTTTCCCTTTTATTATTATTCTTAACACAACTAAACTGGCGAGAGAGCTAATGTTAAGTTAGTTTGTGGAAGTGGAAAAAACTCAACCTGTTAGTTTCTATGTAGTTTTAGAATATCCAAGGAAATATAAATACACATCTTAAAAATACACAAGATGCGTAATAAAATGTGGAATTTAACACAAAAAAGAATGTAGTAGGTAATCACATTCCCAATTTCTGGAAATTAATATCAAGTTGTCTAGGATTGAATGCATACAAATAAAACTCACCCATTGCATGAAAATTTAAATCAGAAATTCGTTAAATTTCTTCATTCTAGAGGCTTGCCAGGTCACTGAGGTATTTGAGAATTGAAGCTCTATTTACATTATGCAGAGACATGCATTTTGGAGTTACCGCAGGACTCAGATGAAGTTAAATCCTTGGCGAATAATGTCAGAGCGGCTTTTGGCCAATCATGGAAAGAGGTGCTATGTGAAGGGCAACTTGTGGAAGGAAAAGTTAATGCTGGCAGTCCAGCTGTTCTTATAATTAGTTCATCTGCCTTAAGATCAATTGAACTTTTAAGGTTCGGCTTCTTCTCCTTGCTAGAGGAGAAATATTTGAAAGAAGATTATGCTTGTTCACCATCACTTCCACCTGTAATGTTTTACCAAAAAGTTAATATGCTTGTGTAGGGGCTTTCAGTCGTTGACAAAAGAGTGTCGTGCTGCAAAGTTGTTCTCAAAGCATATGAAGATTGAGGAGCAGGTAATCATGCTGATTCTTCTATGTTTTGCTAATTATATGTATATATATCTGATCAAATATTTGATTTGCAGTGTAGGAGTTGAGTTTCTGTGAATGTTGTAGAAGTAATGCTGATTTTTTGGGGGGTGGGGGGTGGGGTGGAAAGTTGTACTTTTTGGTTGAAGACTAGCTGCTCATGCTATGTAAATTGATTGTATGACTGGATGAACTCAGTTGATTGCCCTGCTGTAACAATCCACCTGTTTTTTTGCAAAGGATTTTACTTTTTTTTCCCTTTTTTGATTGAGTTTTGTATCTATTGTACTTATTCACAACCATAACAAAATTTCTTCCCTTTATACTTTAAAAATCCTAAACACATTTGTGACACGAACCAACTCTATGATAATTCTGTAATCTGCAAATTGAAATGCTGTTTACTTTGAGCATGATAATATGCACCATGAACCTGCTGAGACATTAGACCGCTGAAGCAATTTGAATTGCTCAGTGGTTCTAATATCAGTTTTGTCCAAAGTTGGCAATGGCAGACCTTTTCTCATTTACTACATATACCTATTGGAGTGAGATAACTTTTATTGTTGTAATAAAACTTGGGAAATGATGCGAAATATAGAAGTATTTTCTGAAGCACTTGCTATGTTGAGTGGTTCTTATATTTTGCACGTCAGTCTGATCCCAAGTTTTCAGTGATTGGGCTTTTCACTTTGATGGCAAGTACGAATTCCAGTGAAGTGTCTTTTTTCCCCATAATTAGGGAAATGATGCCAAATATGAAAATATTTGCTGAAGCACCTGCTATGCTGAGTGGTTCTCATATTTTGCACGTCAGTCTGATCCCAAATTATAAATGGTTGATCTTTCGACTTTGTAGCTTATACTTTTTTCCCTTGGTTACGCATATTTCTGCTACTGATGCAAATTGGCGGTTCTTATATTTTGCATTTTAATCTGATCCCAAATTTTCAATGGTACATTTTCTCATGTGCAATAATACCATTCAGTGGGATTTTTTTGTTTTCTTTGTCAAAATATTTTGTAACAGATTCTAATTTGAAGAGATCCCAAATTTTCAATGGCATATTCTCTCCCTTGCAATGATACCATTCAGTGGGATTTCATTTTTGCTTGTCAAAATGTTTCGAAACAGATTCTAATTTGAAGAGCATTTACTGAAGCATTTTCTGTGCAGAGTGGGTTTTGTATTTTGTGTATTTGCAAATTTTTTTTTTGTTTATATATTTTTCCTCTTTACAGCATATATTTATACGTGAGATATCTGTTTTATGTGAGTTACAACTTGGGAAATGATGCTAAATATAACAACGTTTCTGAAGCACTTGCTATGCTGAGTGGTTCTTATATTTTGCACGTCAGTCTGATCCCAAGTCTGCAACTGTCAAAACACAGTTCAGGGACGTATCTTCCTTCATTATGCATGTCTGAGGCTTGTGTTCTTACATTTCTCTTATTAATCTTTGAATGAGATTTATTGGTTTGGGCAGAAAGATAGCCTTTTGTTAGTATCTCGTGTACTGTAAACTTGAAGCTGCATCTCTTTTTTTCCCATAACCACCTGGATTATCTTCTGCCAAAGGAATAAAAGACGTACTAAAAAAAGAAGGTATATAAGGACAAATAGAGTGATAACCTGTCTTTCGTCTTTTACAGCATATAATTCATAGTAATCTTTTCGTTTTTTCTTGCCATAATTTGGGAAATGATGCTGAATTTATCAACATTTTCTGAAGCACTGGCAATGCTGAGTGGTTCTTATATTTTGCACGTCAGTCTGATCCCAAATCTTCAGTTGTGGTTTTTCACTTGTATTGCAAATGATTTAGTGAGATGTCTTACCTTTTATGACAAAATTTGGGGAATGATGCCAAGTATCAAAATATTTGCCTGAGCACTTGCTATGCTAAGTGGTTCTTATATTTTGCACGTCAGTCTGATCCCTTTTTTTTTTTTTGGTTGCAAATTTTGGATGGCCGATCTCTCTAGCATGTAGTGTAACCGCTCGCAGTGATTATCTTTGTTGCAAATATTTATAACTGATGCCAGATTTGAAAGTAGTTGCTTAAGCACTTACGATGCTGAGTGGTTCTAATGGGTTGAGAAGACTAACCCATGAAATATCTCGGTCATCTTATTGGTCGTCTTATTGTCCGTTTTGTGACTGCAGGTTTCCTTGCTAAAAAACCGTGTTAACATTGCTAGTGGCACGCCAAGCAGGTCGGTTATATGTCATCCTGCACTAAACTTCATTTGTAGACATCAAATAGCCCATTTTTTTCATTTGTGATCTAGATTTTTGAGCACGTTGACATTGTTAAGTACTAAATTTACCGTCCCAAACACTTGCTGTATATGATATATATGCACAACTTCCTTCTGAATTTCAGGATAAAGAAGCTCATTGACACTGAGGCACTAGGCCTTTCAAGGTTACAAGTGCTTTTGCTTGACATACACACAGATGTAAAGGGCTATTCTTTGTTTACCTTGCCACAAGTCAGGTTTGTCTATGATCTGTTTTCCCCTAAATTATGGTTTTCATTATTCTCAATATTTTTCTATAATTGGCTCTTCACATCTGACCACCCTAGTGACGGTACATCTTATATATAATTTATTTGCAGTGACGAATTTTGGGACTTGTTCAAGACTTATTTGTATCAACCAATGGTCCAAGGTAATCTGCGAATCTGTCTTTATGGTCCGTGTCATCAGGCTGTTCGGTTAAAAGGCAAACGAAGACATAATGATTCTGATAAATAAATCCCTCCGGTTTTGTTTCTCTAGTTAATTTTAGAATGAGAATTCTTGGTTTTGGCAGAGATATAGTCTTTCCTTCTTCTTTCTACTTTATAACTCTTCCCATCAACTTAAAGATGCCTTTGTGGGATTCATCTCTTCACTGTTCTTCCCAAAACGACCACGGTGAATTCTTGTCGCTGCCATAGAAGCCAGTTTTGACGTCTTCCACAGAATGTATTGTTTCTTTTCTACTTGTACACAAAACGAGATGTATAATATTTTATACCTTGGTTCCCATCCTGACTTGTTTCCTTCTGAGTTCTCATTTGCCAAAACCAAGTTCGTCCTTGGAATGTGTCTTGAGTTTCTAATTGATTAAAATTTTATTATTTTTTACTTTCTCTATTATTTTTATGAGAAATAATCTTTTTCATTGTGGTGTCTCTAAATATAAAAAATGAATTATTTGTCAGAAGTTTTAAATTGGTCTTTCCATGACCTTTTTTAAATATGTGTCATTTATGATCTCTCCACAATAAATTTTTACTTATTATCTCTTGTGCTCTGTCTACATTTAAGGGTATAGTTGAAAAAATATATGTATTTTAGGCATTTATTATTTTTAACTAAATTTAACTAATATTTTGAATTTCTTGATTGTTAAAAGGACAATTAGTTTTCTTGTTTTTTAATAGCAATCTTAGTTTTCTTTGTTAAAAAAGGGTAGCCATGACCAAGTGAATTCCATCTATATGCAACTTTTAAGAACGTTATCCGCGATAAATTAAATTTATCAAAAGTTAAAAAACTTCACTCAAAATGACATGTTTTAGCCACAAGATAAGATCCAACTTCATTCCCCAAATCTAAGTGTCAAAGTATGAAGACTTTTCACTGACCTAATTCCATGAGTATCCCAAAGGCTCAAACTGATACCTTCTCACCGTAACACGATGGGAGGGCTCCATTTTATCTACATAATGTAAATGCCGTCTCTAGGGTAATTTCTTTTGCAATATTAACAAATCAACCAAGGCTCATTTCTCACAAGGGGGAAAATAGTGAAGTATAATTTAATCTAAGTTCATTACCTATTATCAGGAATGATTCATAATCACTAACCAGTATTATATATAACTATTCACGACATTGAGGGAAAATTCCATCAATGCAGAACCCTTTGTATAATCTATTATTATTATTTTTTTGATACAAATCTATTATTGATGAACCTGCTGCTAAAATCAAGGGAAAGCTCCCTGTCTCATCCACTTCACTGCAGCCCACTTTGTCCCAGAAAGTACCTCACATGCTTCATGAATACTATTCGGATCTACTTCTCCACTTAGTTCCTGAATAACACACCAATACATAAACATGTTACTCGTTTTCAGTGATGAGGTTTACATAAAATGTGATCATACATACAATTCATAGGCATTCAATTCTCTTAAACTATCACATAAATGAAAATATTTCATATCATTTGAAATTAGAATCTAAAAGTTACATAAATGGCTTCATCATTTTCCTTCAGTAAAGACGTTAGGATATTCTATTGTTATTGTATATAGTATAGGATCATATATTATTCCTAGGGATATGATTCTGTCGCTGAGGGCCATTAATATTGAGGCTCATCCCTCTTGTACATATACCCATTCTCTAATCATAAATAGACGCAAGAAATTCATACGCCTTCGGTTCTTAATATAATATCTATTTAACTAATTTGATTAGATTAAGAAAGTTAGGTAAATTGGTTAATTATAAGAAATATGACATATTTTTCTTAAAATACCATAATTATCTTTCTTAATATCTTCCCTCCTCACTTACTTGATTATGGTGAAGGGGGTATCCATAGGGGTAATTTAAGAAAAATTGATGAATATAAGAAATATGTCTTATATTTATGACTAAAATTAATTTAATAATTAAGTTCTATATTAAGGACTGAAAGAGTACTATCTTTTCTATTTCTCTATATGCTATCAGAGCAACTCTTGGTATTCTTTTTCCCTAAAAATATTTGTATTTTGCAATGTTTGACATGTAAACACTGCCACTAATTTTCTATGATGTACCATCAATCTGTATGATAAAATCTACAATAGACACATTATTTATAAGCATAAACAATGTCTAGTTGCTCTTATATAACAAGCATATATGGATACTAACCATACTCCAAAAAAGTACTGCATTTCCTTTAATAGGTTTGACGGACAGCCCTTTGACAATTTTTCCACCACAGTTACACTCACCTGAACCACCCTGCAATTCATTTATGTACATTATATGTAAAACTAAAAATAAACATGCCAGCATATTGCATTAGTCATAATCATGTTACCAGGTCGTTATATGTTTCAAGAAGGTAGAATCAAGATAAATTAAAAATGAAAATAGTAGTAATAATTTTTTATCAAAAAGACAAATGGATTGATTAACATAACTGGTTTGAATTAAAACTCAGGAGCAGGCCATTAAGAGCTTTACTTTTGTAACTACAGCACAGGACATCATATCATAAACTTATAATAAAAATATATTTAAAAAAATGTTAACAACTAAATTCACATGAATATGGGCTCACGTTTAAGAATTAGATTATGTGCTCATGTTATACACAATGTCTAAGGAGAGTCAGGTGCTCATAGCTTATGCATCGTACCATGTAAGTTTAAGGAGTTAACCACAATAGTTTCAAGTGTTTCTTCCTGTTCATGTGTCCATGCTGTTACATCGTCAAGTCATGCTATCTATTCCTATTTGCGAAGAATCCTTCCTCCGCATATGGACCTCATCAAGTTGCTGTTTCTATTAATTGTCTGTTTGAGTCTATTCAGCTGTTGAGCCTATGGTTAAGCATTGTATTAAGTTTTATGAATGAATACTAGCAATGGGAGTTGTGTTTAGCAAAAAAAGCTAGTCTTTCGCAACGTGGAGAACTGTTGTTTGAATCTCACTTAGTAGAAGTGTTCATATTTAGTGTCTGATAGTGCCTCGATGTCTCTTTGCATGTTTCTAATTTTGTAGCCTCAAAGGACTTCTTCAAAAAAAAATTTCCCCATATTTCATAAAATAAAAAGAAACTCAAAATAAAAATTAGCTTGTTACTACGGTATAGATATCGAAAAGTTTAGAAGAGAAGCCTGACACGCACACTCACACGTGCGCACAAAAGTATGATTGGCTCACACACACCAACATTTGATTTAAATCAAACACGAGTTCTTATCTCTCGTACAAATGAACCTATATTTGTGACACTAGTCAATCTACACATCTACTTCATATCTGTCATCTAATAATGGCTTACAAAATAAGCTAAATGAAATACTTCGAGAAGCAAGAATTTTACCATTGGGAAATATGTTTCACCACCCTCAGCATCATCACTTATATACATAAGCATCGTCGCTATTCGCTGCCCACCATTTTTCAAGTTGATCTGTTGTGAAAACAAAACAAAAGGCACAAAAATGTGCAAATTGTTTGATTAAAACCACTTCAAGGCAATTATAATCATTGCAAAGTGGAAAAGACAGCAAGGGGGGAATAAAACTCACAGGATCAGTAAAATAGTCAGGATGACGTTTTTGAAACTGATTCTTCTCATACCTATGATTCTGCAGATGTTAGCCTTGTTACTAGGAAAGTAAGTCTCTTTTTGAAAAGAATGGAGGAAAATAATCATATCCTACCTCAAAATTTGAATATCCTCCCCATTTTCAACTGGTACTTGAGCATAGATTGAAATTCTCTTTTCAATCGCCTAGATGTGTGAGTTGAACATGTATTATCAAAACGTTCAATTAATTATCACCCAAAAAAAGTTGAGAGAATCCCAAAAGAAAAACCTTTGAATTTCAAAATTCTAAACCAATATTGTTTACTACATTTTAATAACAATTGATATCATTTGAAAAGCAAATAATAATATTTTTTTGAAGTCATTCCTGATTTGGGATTTTGAAATTTTAGATGTTTTTTTTTTGGATTTTTCCAAAAAGTTTCTCAAAATTATTCAAATAAATAACCAAATATGAAAAACAGGTCCAAGCATAAAGCAAAAGTAACTAACTAATGATCTTGAAGGAAACTAAAATTTTCATATAATAATGACAACACCAACCATCAAAAAAAGTTGCACAAGAAGAAATGATATAATGAAGTGAAAACAAAAATGTTGGGTGTTGATAATAGCGGAAGGCAATTCAGATAAAAGACTAAGCAAGAAAGTATACTTATTAACAAATTTACCTGCACCATGGGGTGTCGTCTATCTTCCGAACTCAGGAACATACCAGAGCTTGTTCTCATATTAGAGATATAGTGCTATGAAAGATGAAGGAAAATCAGATAAGATGCAAGTTGGCAGGCTGCAAACTACAATTCTTATTTGAAGGATACAGACAATAGAGAAGTTGACAGGCTATAAAAATAATTATCTGTAGAAAGAGTACAATCACTGCTTCATACATTTTCCCTCATTTTCTCTCCCTTTTCTCATGCTCCCTCAAAAACTCTCATCAATTTTTTATTGATGAGTAAAGAAGGTAAGATCCTTTGGTGTTCTGCAGTATCTGCAGATATTTTGATGTTTATAGTGGAAGATGAATACAATAATATTCAACAAGAAATTTCAGTATTGGAACTTTTATAAGAAAATATTGCCGTATCGGGTTATGTTAGAATAGCTATGCACCCTAGATACAACTGAGAAGATGAGGTGTGACCTAGTTATACTCCAACCGTGCTACTAGCAGAAATGCAAATTTGTACATAGTTGTCCTATTTAATATAAAAGTTTTTGGATTAGTATCATCTTTAGTTCCTGAAATTTGACTTAATTTTGATTTGGATCCTAAAAATTTGATCTCATTTTGGTTCACTTAAAAAATTTTATCCTTGGAACAGTGTTTTTGGTCTTGGAAGGTTCCTGAAACAAGTTTTCATAGACCAAAAATCATTGGTTTCAAATTTTAGGGACTGAAACCAAAATAAGGTTAAGTTTTAGGGACTAAAGATGATCTTAACTCAATATTAACAATATACTACTATCTCTGATTGTTAATATAAGAACTAGTTTGACTTTTAATTTGGTCCTAAATATAAAATCCTAATCTACTTTCTTTTTTATATTTATCCTTTTTTTCCCCCAAAGTAGTCATTGTAGTAGTTGCACATATTAAATGTTCCATCAAATAGTAGTTTTAGTTAATACACATGATTAGCAAGAGTATTCTAGGAAAAGGAACATTTATTACAAATAATTAATTTAACTAAGTTTTTTAATCTCTCTAAATTAGTTAACTAAGTCTTATATTAAAGACCAGAAGTAGTATGTACAATAATTGTGCAGACTAATTTAATGTCGCTAATGATGCAGATTGTCTTACTGTCAAACAAAAGGTTTCATTCTCTTTTATTCCTAGCTTCTGACGTTATAAGAGTGAGGAAAGGAAGGAAAAGGCTTGTTTCAAAACGATACTATGACTTTTTCTAGTGGCATTTGACTTTCCAATCATAGTTTTCTATGGTTTCTTGGAGACCCGCCCAACGAAATATACCCAACATGCCTCACGCTACACCGTCCTAGTTTTAACTGAAGAAATGTAAAGCTAACCTCATTTGTTGCATCTAATGGAAGAGGTATCATAGAAAACCACCAAAAGAATTATAGGCATCTAAGTTCATATTTTGGATGTCTAGATAATGAAAACCAATAAAAATTAAACCAAGGTACCTTCCCTGTTGTCCGATTTACCACTTGTGTATGTTCAAGGTGAGGGTACCCTAACTCCTTGAGATACTCACATTCCTGTAAAGAAAAACTAGCTTCAATTTCAGTATAAATGGCCCCGCAAAGTTGTAATGATGAACAACTTTTTATTCAGAAGCTAAATTTGTTAAAACTGATTAGCACTGATGTTATTGCTCCATACAAGTCATGACTTTTTTTTTTCCCTCCTTAGGCCTTCAATGAGGTTGCTGAACAAAATAAGGACATCGTACACTATTTTACAATTCCAACCAAGGAGTACCACATGGGAAGTACCAGGAAAAGATCCGCCAAAAATTATGCTTTTTCTGGAGAAAGTAAAGTACGCATAAATGAATGGAGAAAGTGAAATATGGTTACAGCCAATGCTTGATCCTATTTTCCAGAACCGATTTGAAATAAACTGAGTCAGATAGCCATGGTAAAACATGCATTTGTGTGTTGTTAAAGAAAAAAAAAAAAACAAAGAAAAGCATAAACTTGGCCATCATAAAAAAGTCATACCTCCATGCTTAGGAAGTTACGCAGTAAAATAATTCTTGGAGACCAGCTAAGAACTTCAGGTTTGATCTACAACCAGAATTAGGATCACAAGCGAAATTAAATTAACAAAGGGAAATCACGTGTTTTGGACTTTAGTTGACACCCAAAAAAAAAAAAACACAAGACATTAAAGTAACAAATATCATAATATACAATCTCGGCATATTAAATTCTCTCACAGGTGTCTGGACAAAAAACGATAAAATACTTCCTATAGTTACGCTGGCCTTTTTACTTTATCTGAGGTTGGAAGTTCTTTTAAAATTACTGAACAAAAACTTTCAAACAAGAATAATAACTTCAGGTATTAATTGTTGGAGAAAAAAAGAAATCCACATACATATCCAAGACGTAAGGTTTCTGCTTCCGTGTCATTTTTCCAAAATGAAATACCTGAAAAATCAGAAAATATAAATTTAAAAAAAAAATTAAAAAAGGGCATGGTCACCATCAATGTTCATAGTAGCAAACATTAATTGTCCTTTATTCTAATCCTTTTCAGCATTTTCTTTTCTTCTGCAAACACCAAAATCTATTCCTTACCATCTTTTTCTCTGGTTTGGGAGGAATTGCAGTATCTTTATAGTACAAGTTTCTAATGGTTTCCATCAATGCTTCTCCCACAAGTCTTCTTTTTGGAAAATTTATTTTCTCTGCCAATAATTGGGTTTCGGATTTTTTTAGGTCAGGATTTACAAACAGAATGCAGAGTTCTTTTGAGCTATTATTCCACTGTCATAATTTCTTAATAATTCCATTTGATTTCTTTCTTCTTCTTTTTTTCTTTCTTTGTCATGAACGCCTATTGGCCTACCCGAAAAGAAAACAAGATAAATAAATATATAGAACTGGTATCTCAGTTCCACATGAATATTTCAATAGTTGTAACCACACTGCGATGGTGGAAAGTCTATATATGTAACAAAACAGAACAATTTCAACATATCCAAAAATAAATGTTTACCAGTTGAATCTTGCCGTAATTGTAAAAGTGCCAATTGAGAGACAACACCTGTTATTCAAAAACAGAAAACAATCCATTCATGTGATTGCATTAGGCCAAACTTTTCTGAAATTGCTAATCAGTCATCCATTATTTCTGACATATATCATCATTCTATTTCTGTTATCAGCTTTACATCAAAGTGGAATATATCATTCTCCTTTTTTTTTTTTGGGGGGGGGGGAGGAGGGGAAGGTTGGGACTTTCATCCTGTTTCTTGGAAGCCGATAAGTTTTTCATGAAGGCAAGACAGGCAAGTTTCCAAAAGAACAAATTCCCCAGTTGTGGTGGTTTCATGTTGTTGGATGCATTCGGACATCATCTCTTTTGTTGTTTTGTTCACATTTTTAGGTGGATAACAACAAAATCAGGACAAAATATATTATGGACGAACAGGTTGTGGGCTCATCAAGTGGGGTCCATTTCTTTCTTTTTTTTAATGAATTTTTTGTCCTTTTTTTTTTCCTCCTTCCAATACATTGTTTCTTTTTCTTAGTAACTTTACAGTGAACAATAGTGCAGAAAAACCAGAATGTTAGTAAGCTCTAATGAATTCATGATCACCCTCACAAAACAAACAAAACAACATGAGCACATATAATTTTATATGCCATTTTTCATTACCGATGATCAAGCCAATGGTGGCAAATGAGAGAAGTCCACAGATGAACTTCATGGTGGTCGAAACAATGCAAAACTTTCGGTGAAGAGACAAATAGAAAATGAAGAATGAAAGAGGAGTGAAAGAAACAAATACATTGATGGCCCTTAAGAACACGAAGAAACAACATTGATGGCCCATCGCTTGTGAAGAGTCAATAATGACTCTTCTTTCTTTCACTTTCAAACTTTGATTTCTTTTCGGTAAAGAATCATACTCCTATACATGGTATTCATTCAAAGAATAATTAACCCAAACAATAATTAATTGAACTAAAATTAACTCAAACGAACTTAGGCAAATTTACATGTTCAAGTTTCTCTTTTTCTTTTCTTAGTCGTAGTTCTTTTTTTTTTTTTTTAAGCTTTTCTTAGCTTGAATTGTTTTCTTCTTATTGCGAAGTAATTTTCCATCTTTAAAATTCATATTCTTTTATTATGGTCATGTCTAGCATATAAAACATCATTTTCATTGAATTGTGTTTCAAGTGACGCCTCTTGGAATGGATCATCTTTAATTGTACTATCTTCATATTTTATCTTCTAATTTATTTTATTAGTCAACAAAACAATATGTCATTCCTTATTAGCAAGATCAAAGACATAGAACATTTGTATAGTTTGAGAAGGCAAAGTAAAAAGCTCTTCTTTATACCCCATGCTTACTCAAATTTAATTGTATAAACCGTAAGTCATTAACTCTCAAGGCATTATTAATGACAATCTAATTGCTCCCAGATATTGAGACCAAATTCCAATGTAATATAACTCTCAAATATGCTTGATAACCCCAAAGTACTCATTCCCATAGATAGGACTATTATCTTTGGTACTTGATATATGTATGATATTAGCTACAAGAATTACACCACTATTTTATAACTTTCCTCAATCATCATGTTCTTTGGTATATAAGGTGAGCTCATTAATGATGTAGTTTGTGTAAGAAAGTATATATTTGCATAGATTGTTTCCAAAGAACTTTAATTTCTAAAAAACTTACTCAGGATCAACATCATACTTATCATGCATGTGCTCTTTCAACTATATTGTAAATTATTTATTGTGTACTTTAGCATACTAATTTTTTTATTTTAGGGTTAGCCTTTTTAGGTTCCTCCCTATTCTTGTCTATAAAGTCTTCAACCTCTTTGAAGTTGTGTAATCCGTACAGATGTGATTTCGTGTTGGTTTGAGATCATAACAACTTTCCTGCCCATCATCCCTTTCTCACTTGTCCTTCCCTCACACTGAAACACTAGGAGTCTAATATCACTGACATTTTTTAAACATTTGGTGAAAAATTTAACAACCTCTTCGCAAATATATCATTCAACAATGCAACCCTCTAGTCGACTATGATTTCTCACATAACCTTTTAATATCTTTTATGTAGTGTTCAATTGTGTATATCCATCTTAAATAGGTCGAGTCACTCAATTGTATAAAACCCACGAATCTGTCAAAATTCGCTTGAGCTTTCACGGCTGCTCGACCATTGGTCACCGGAACTTTAGTGACCAGCAATTTTTTTTTTTGAGATTTTTATAACTCTAGTAACGTGGTTAACAAGTTCTTTAATGCTATTAAAAAGTTCAATATAGTAGTTAATAATAGGTTTTTCAGAAAATTTAAGAATCGGCATTTTTACAACTTCAATAATACAGTTAACAAGTTCTTTAACTACCACTGCCACGGGAAATAAAGAAGAAAAGATGGGATTCTTGGAAGATTTCATAAGGGAAAAAATGACTCAAGAAAACTAGATATATAGTGCTGGTGGGGGCGAAGGTGGGGCGGTGTATATGGGTCAAAATGAGATGAATATTACTAAAAATCAAAAGCAGAGAGGAAGAGAGGAAGAGAAAAAAGCTGTACAATTTTCTCTCTCTATTTTTTGAAATAGCCCTGCGATAATGGGGTTGATTTTCTCCCTATCATGAGAAAACAAGAAATTTGAAGAGATTAAAGGCACCGCTAAAGGTTGAAAGCTTGTTGGAGTCTCGAACTATTTTAGTTCCTAGAGTGTTCTCGAACTGGAATGGCAGAGGGATGAGGGATTGATGCAAGGTATGATTGTGAAGGTGCTTGGGAATGGATTTGATGACAGAAACATAAGAGGAGTGATAGTGGAGTTTAGGGTTTCTCTTTTTAGGTTTGGGGATCCATGTTTTTCAAGGTAGGATTTATTTTTTTTAAAGGTTGGATTATTAGATATTTAGACTTGGACTGAAAAATAGCCCAACTTTTTTATGCAATTTAGTTTTTTGGTTATAACCAAATTTTTTTTTACTCCAACTGAACTGAACACCGAAAATTGAACAAATGGCCGATAAAAACAAAAAAAAGAAAACCGAAAACTGAATTAATCAAACCAAAAAAATCAAATTGATTTTGGTTTGATTCGATTCTGAATTTTAGTTCGGTTTTGTTCACCTTTAGTGGGAGGAGCCAAAGTTTAAGATGTCGTCACACATTAAGTGGTCTTTACGACCTGTCGTGGTTGGCATAGCACGTTAGAGACAACGGTTACAGTGGGCATTCCGGTGAGTAAGCAAGTTTAAATATTTTTGTTTGTTGCTGCAAATATGTGTAGTTGATTGAGGAGAGGGATTGACAAATTTAGGGCAAAAAATGATGATAACCCAATTGTGATTGATTGCCGAGATTGTTGAATTCAGGGCTGGAAATGACGATAAGCCAACTGTGATTGACTGGACGTACTTTTATATTACGATTTTTTATTTTCAATAAAAAAATGATATATATTAATTTTTTATAATACGTAATTACATAATACTGTGTATTTTGATTATATTATACGTCTAAAATATTGTGTGATATAAAAAATATAATATATAATGATATAATATATTTATTATATAATTGAAATAATTTATTGAGGACTGAATTGAATTATATTATTAATTTTTTATATTTAATAAAACTTGTAAAAAAAAAAAAAGGGTAAAACCGCTCACATTGTCCCCCCCCCCCCCTTTCTTGGGATGATATGGCCATGTGCTTTTAAATAGATATATAGGCGGATGGATACGGCGCTAATGAAAGACGTAATAATTAAAACAAGATAGTACACTTAAGTCATACCCAAGAATTTAGTTAATTCATTTTCACTACTTTTCCGTGGTACTACCTCCATTTCTTAATATATTAGAGCTAGTAGAGGATTTGATTTGGTTTTAAATATAAATTTTTAACTAATTTTGTCTTAAAATATCTTTATTAATTGTAAAAGTTTCCATCAAAGAATATTTCCAATGCACATGATTAAAAAGAGTAGTTTACGGAAGTCATTGTTACAATTAACAAACATAATTAATTTTTTTAATCTCTCCAAATTAGTTATATAGCTCTTATATTAAGGATTAGAGGTAGTACTTGACAAATTAAATCTAAAATTTTGGTAAAGCAAACTGTTTATTTTAAATATTTAATGACCAAATCAAGTAATACATTCCTAACTTCAAGAATCAAATATTTTAAAATATTTATCATGCTTCTTTTAATTTTCTTATCCAGAAAGAGCTAGCTTTGCTCAAATTATTGCATTGCGGCTTCACTCATTACTTATGACAAGCAATTTTTGATATGGATGCCTAAGAATTTCTCGATTACTTAGGGTATGTTTGGATTGGTGATGGGCAAAACTGACTTCTAGTCCAACTGACTTTTCTAACTGAAGTTAGAGTAAAAGTTAGTTGTGGTATGTTTGGATAAGTGCTTTTAAAAAGTCAGTTGAAAAAGTTAAAAGTTGTTTGGATGAATAGAAAAGTTAGTTCAGTTGTAAAATGACTGAAAATAGCATATACTATATTGAATAGTAGTGTTTGATATTTTTAATGTGATAACTGTTAAAAAAATAAAAAATTATTATGATAAAATAAAAATAATTTATTTGTGAGATTATAAAATAAAAATATATGTTACCAAGAAAAATTTAAAAACACATTATAGATAATTAATTAAATATATATAATGGACAAACATGAACATAAATTAAAATTTATTTCGTCTCTAATTAGAGTAAATGAAATTACATAAGTAATTAGATCGTACTTAATTAAATATATATAATGGACAAACATGAACATAAATCAAATTAAAATTCATTTGGTCTCTAATTAAAGTAAATAAAATCACATAACTAATTAGATTGTAAGCTTTGCACAATTTGGTCTCTAATTGAGTCATGAACACGATTCATTTGTGCGATAGATGTTAAACTTGACGAGGATGCTTCACCAGCTGGATGATTATTGTCTTCATCTATTATACTTCCACACTCAACTTGTATAAAGCAGTCATCAGTTGGAGAATTTTGCCTGATAAAATTATGGACAGCCATTGTTGCATAAACTATGCAGACCTGTGCTAGAAACTTGAATCTAGGCATATCTCTTAAGATTGCAAACCTATTCTTCCAAACCCCAAAAGTTCTTTCAATAGTGCATCTCAAACTTGAATGATAATAATTGAAAGCCTCATTCTCATTTCTAAATCCTGACTGACGATTAAAGTCTGGAAGGTGATAGCGCTCACGTCTGTACGGGCCAAGATATCCCACTTGTGATGAATAACCAGTATCAACCAAATAAAATTTGCCTAGAAAATCATGACTCAATTATGTTAAGGTGAAAATAATGCAATTGAAGCTTAATTTTAAAATAATTGATTTGAAATTTACAGAAACATACCTTCAGGTGGATGACGGAAATTCATGGATGGAGTTGAAATAGTAGATTGAAAGACACGAGCATCATGTGCACTACCTTCCCAGCCCGCCAACACGAACGTGAAGCACATATCCCAATCATGATATTTTGACTTGTCTAGCTTGACTAACTTGACATTTTATGTGGGTGCCATCAATTGCGCCAATTGCATCCTTAAAAAATGGGAAGTATCGTGGATCATTTGCTATTTTTGGGTGGCAATAGGAGAATGCAGGATCAATGGGCCTGATATTTTCTCGAGATAAATTGAGGCAAGCATCCAACACTCTATGAAAATGCCGACTGACAGTTTCTCCTGAACGCTGAAACCTTTCTTGAATCATCCTATTACACTGACCATGCGCAATTGTATTCAAGAACATGGCAACAGATTCATGGACATCTATGTACTTAGAATTTTGCAACCCATGTTCAACCAATTTAGAACATAACCGATGGAATGTCTCTGTTTCCATTCGAAACATTTCCTTAGACTGTCCTTCATGCCCGTGCAAAAGTCTTGAACCCATAAATAACCTGTTTGTTCGCTAGTTTTGCATGGCTGTTTGCATAGAAAAAGTGTCACATACTGACCCATTAACACACTTAGTTGTGATAATTGTGTTGTGTGTTCATGTAAAGCGAGAAGTAATTGAGACTGTTCGTCGTCCCAACCCTCCCCCCAACCCTCGCCCCAACCATCCGTTGAATCAGACATGGATTATGTTACCTGTGAGTAGTTAAATACTATGTGAGTACTATTTTCACAAAAAAAGAAGAGAAAAGATAAGTGATAAATAGCCATTAAATTGTAACATAATAATTATACATAGTCATGAAACACAACATTAAACAAAGTCATGAAACACACAATATTAAATAAAGTCATGAAACACACATAATCATTAAACACATTGTCATGACACACAATAACCAAATACATTAAGATAGATAAACAGAAATCATAATAAGTCACTAGGCACAACTCAAGGATTCTTGGGTGCAGCATATGGTGGCGGGTTTGCAGCATTGTGCTTCAACCAAGCTACTAATACCTCCTGATTTTCTCTCAAACCAGCATATATGTCCCTGAATGTCTTGTTTGCCAGCAAATTACAACAGATGACACATAGATGAGTGTCATTGACAATTTCAGGCATACTCAGTGGATCAGTGGTAAGCTCAGTAGTATTATCACTGTTGGGGATTTTGTTTATTGCCTTTGCTGTACTAATTGAAGCCTTCTCAATCGAACTCACTGAATCTGCTATTCTTCTTGTCGCTGGCATTTTTTGCTTCTTGTACTTGTCCACCCCTTTACCTCTCTTCCTCTTCCCTTGACTCCCTGAAGCACTAGGTACAGTGGGTGCAGTGTTCGATGTGTTTGCAGTTAAATTGATGCGTCCAAATAGTCCGAAACTCCTGCACAGCATCCAATGTCATCTTCACTATCCCCTGAACCTTCTTGCCAATCCATTGTTTGTTGGTAGTCATTTGGCTGATCACCCCTCTCTGGCTCAGGCACGATCCAAGATGGTGCCCACATATCATCTCCTGATGCCATAGTGTCCTTGAATATAGTTTCCAATTCAGTGAGAAACCTTAACCCATGGTGCCTAAACTTTTCATATGCTAGATTTTCTGTAAAGTTAAAAGTAAACCAAAGTTAAATATATTCCAAAAGTATAATACCGCTTCTAAATTAACACAAGCTAGTTCATACCCGTAATTTCCTCTCCCACCACTCATCAGATGCCACCACTGTGTTCCTTTCAGGGTCCCACCCTATACCGGTCTCCTTAGCAATTAGTTTATCAAATGTCTTCCACTCTTTTCTCAAGTTATCTAACCTATTTTTTAGCTACTTTCTTTCATATCCTCTCCCTGTCTTTTCATTGAAAGTTTTATGAATGTTGTCCCAATCTTGTTTTGTAAATGAAGATCCTTGACGAAATTTGCTATAGATCTGGTCAACACATATTTTGAGAAAAACACCTGTAATGCTCACGTCCCAATGTGCTTTGCCTTTATCGTTACTCATAATTCTTGTTGAAATTACATATATATCAAACCCACAATTAGTCAAGAATCAAACAGTATAATCAAGTAGTATATACCCAGAATATATGTAAATCAATTTATCACCAAAAGTGCATTAATTCAAGCAAACTTGGGGTATGCTAACCTTAATACTAGAATTTTTAGCTTAAACAAGACCATAACAGATTCAACTCAACATGGGCGATGAATTGAAATGGAATAAACATCACTAAAAATTGGCAAAGCTCTAAATTCATGTTTGGATCAAAACTTCAAACTCAATGCTCAATGTAGCTGGAAAAACCATAAAATTTAAAATTGGTCATGACTGAGTACGGATAACAGATTGTCATTAGATAAAGTCGGGTCATTATAACATGACCCTTTTACACCCAAATACAAAAATTATAGACAAAGTAACACAAGATAACAAGGAGTAAAAGATGCAAAGCACACACCAGCTGCCACAAACTCAACAGAAAACATAGAATCACAAAACACAATAGATTTGCCAAACTTTCAATATAATCAAGCAGTATAATCAATCGTGTGAATGATTTCTTTTTCCAATATTCAGATTGTTCATACATGCTAAATATATCCACATATCCAAATATAACCATGTGATTCAAAAGCTTCAACCAAGCCGGAATACATCCACATATCCTAGCTAAATATATTCACATATCCTTGATTACCATCTTTGTATTTTCCCCCCTAAAGTTCAGAACATCGCACACTCATTTTAATTCCTCCACTTTCTTCCCTCATTATTGTTTGAGAATTCTCAGATGCAATCGAGAGGAGAAGTAGTAGATCGAAATGAGTTCTAGATATCTCAAATCTGAAAGCAAGTATCTGAATTGCGCGTAAAGATTGGAGATCAGAAATGGAGAAGTCATGCACTCTACTGGTTCACTTTGACAAGGGTACACCAGCACTTGCCAAACTATCATATGCTTCGGTCAAAATAGAACGTCCGCAGGAGAAGGGAAAAAAAACAAAGAAGATGATTCTTTGCACACACAACAACAACTACAACCAGAGGAGAAAGGAAAAAAAAACCTCACCTCCTTCAGCCACGGTCAGCATCGACAAGGAGAACAGAGGATCTGAAAGTCGAATAGGGAAAAGAAAAGAAAAGCAACCACGGTACCTTGAGCGGTGGAGGAAGACAGCATCAATTCTTTGCACACACACGCCGGTGATGGTAAGGAAAATGACACAAATCTGTAGCGACAGTGATGGAGGGAGAACAGCCGCCGAGACCCACGAATGGAGACGCCGGAGAGAGCGACGAATGGAGACACAGGCAACAGCAATGGATGGAGACGCTGGCGAGAGAGACGGACGGAGAGAGTGCCAAGAGTGATGGAGGTAGAAGGCCGAATACAGAGCAAGAGGAGCCTCCCTGTTTGTTGCTCGGTCGAGGTGTTCTGAAGGAAAGATCTGCTTTGAAGAGGGTTGGGTGGAAATGATAGTTGAGAGAAACTGAATACCCATTAATAGGGCTGTTCACGGGACGGGACGGACCCGTCCAGGTCCCGTCCCGATAAATAGTAACGGGACAAGAAATTTGTCCCGTTTCTCGTCCCGTCCCAATATTGTCCCGGTCCTGATCGGGACGAGATGGGACCAGGACGTCCCAGTACTCTGTTTTTTTTTTTTGAAAAAATGCTGTGGGGCTTCTGAAAATGCTGTGGGCCTTTTAAAAAATGCTGTGGGCCTCTTTAAAATGTTGTGGGCCTTTTAATAGGGAATTTTAAATGATATGGGCCTTCAATAGAAGATATACTATCCATATATCAACAATTTTACAATCTAAACAATAACAGACAGCTTTATATCTACTCATTTACTAAATGCTCATGCAATATATAGTGAGGATACACTGAAAAATAAACTATTACCCAGCAACATCATGATAATTCAAGTATTCAATAAATGGGACATCACGAAAACAAAGTTAATCATGTGATGGATCTTGTCATCTTGGCGGGACAGGAAGTAGGAACAACTAACAAGTAACAAGCCAGAAAATAACAAACGGAACCAAATCCATTGACTGGAAAATGGTCTCAAACCGTAAAGAAACTTAACAAACAGTCCAAATGTCCAAGGAGGCAACAAGTCCATCACCAAATGACTACACTACATCAAAAACACTTGTCCAGAAAATAAGCCAGAAAATAACAGAACCAAATCCATCCAGCAGCACACAATCCAACATTTACTGGTTATTCACTTATTTGGTTACTCCTCTTCATCCAATAAATTTGAGGCAGCTGATTCTTCTACAAATGAAGACAAGGAAAAGAAAAATTGTTAAATGTTAATATGAAGTTAATAAATCAGATAAAAAAGGAATTTTAAAACTGTCCATAACAAATTATGAAAATAAAAAAAATGAAGGAATGCCTGGATTTGGAAAACCATTCAATTACTCAACCGGTGCCATTGACTTGAGAAGGCATCCAAATATAACAAGTGCGCAAAGGAGACAGCCACACTGATGATATATAGGCCTTTCAATACATGCATCAGAAGCATAAAGGAAGGATTGTCCCATTCAAGTAGAAATATTGAAACCACCTTCCCCTCCTCCCCAGTATGTTGAAAACTCATAGTACCAATTCTTTTCTTCAAAAGAAACGAAGTTGACATGAATTCATGTTCTACTTGCTTTGCTATTGATAAGAGGTGTGTGATCATATATCTTCAAATAAATGGCCTTGGACCACAAATAAAATTTACTATGATTATCAACAACTTTGCGCACGCATTGGGAGGACAGCATTTTTTCGTTGTTCAAAATTTTCCAGAATTTATGTATGGAGAAACTAAGAAAAAATCTTCAAATATTAATTTTCAAGTCCTTTAACAAAAATTAATGTGGAAAAGAACTTTTAAAAAAATTTAATGTGATGCTAAATTGATTCAGTAGTGATATTGTAATAAAATACTACTCGAAAGGGCCTTATGCTTAGAAAATGTTTAAAAGGAAAACTGCACAGAACTTTTAGATGCCTAGTAATCCATATAATCTTCAAG